ACATATCTTTGTTTCAGTTTCATGGGATGGAAATAACTCATTCCTGTGCTCCTTTACTTTTCCCTCGTACGTGTTCGCGACCTGTCAAACAGACTTTCGCTCTCACTTTCATAAGGCACATAAACACGATCGAGCTCCAGCTGGAGGTGACGCGTTTCCTCCACCGCTGCGAGTCTGCCGCCTCCTCCAGGTCTCCGCAGACCAGCGCTGCTCCCTCCAGGTCCTCCGGAGCCACTTCACCACCTACTCTGTTTGGGGGGAGTCCCATGAAGGTTGAGGTCGCCTGTAAGGTGAAGGTTATCCCGGTGCTTTCATGTACAATCCGTGATAATGAATGTTGATAGGAGAGCTGTTACCTGTTGTGGTTTAGTGCTGCTCTGATAATGGGACAAAGGAATATCTCTTCAGTTGAACTGTATTTATAAATAATGTAAAATATGAAATACCTGGTTGGGACTGTGTGATATGTTTTTAACTGCAGGTGATGCTGGGAGGAAAAAACATCGAGGAGGGGTTTGGCATCGCTTACAGAGTCATACAGGTGAGTTCATGTGTTCTTCTTTCAAAGCTGGATTTCTTTAATCGGAGACAGTTTTTCTCCTTCGGGAGAAAATAAAAACAACTTTGACCTTAATCTTGAAAAGTGCAGCAACACAATCCTCAGGGTTCTGTCAGGACGTCTGTTCCAGTTCAGAGTTACTCACTTCTTCTTTCCCCATTTACACATTCTCCAAACATGTTTTGTAGTTTGTTTGTTTTTTGAGGCATATGTTTTATTGAGTAAAAGAATCACATGATGTAGGAGAGGAAAACACAGTCTACATTTTCATTAGAAAAAAAGAAAACAAAAAAAGAAACATGAATTCACACAAAAGAAAAATACACTCGTGGTAAACCCTCCCTCCCTCCCTCCCTCCACTTCTTCCCGCCTCAGGACTTCCAGCTGGAGGCCCAGGCCGTCTACACGCGGGCCGGCCAGAGGCTCGTCCGACAGAGGCAGTACGGAGCCGTGCGGCAGCTGCTGAAATGCGTCGGCGAATCGGGCACCGCCACCAAAAACGACTGCGACGGCCTCATCCTCAGCTGTGTCTCCGTCGCAGATAAAACCCCAGCTGATGTGGGTGACAGAGGCCGTCTGACACTAGTGCAACAAAGATAGATAGATAAGGATAAGACATGGAGTGAGTTGTGACCGTGACTCTGTTGTTCTTCTTCTGATTCAGGCGAAGGAGCTGGAAAGTCTCATTCTGGAAACCAAGAGCACAGAGAACAAGGTGATGTAAAACTGTCTGCATCATGTTTTATCCTCCTTCACCGTCATTGTTCCACATGTAGAAATCACACTGACCGTTCCTCCTGTCCTCCCCCCTCACCAGCGATATCACTCTGTTTTCCTTTGGTTCTTGTCATAATAAATTCTCAGTATTCGTTCCACTGGACTAAGACGACCTGCTTATAAAAATGGTATCACCTGCAGATCAAAGCCTACCTGCTGTGCAGTAAGCTGCGGCCGGCGTACCTGCTAGCGGTGAAGCTGGACCCGAGCCGGGCCGGCCCGTTGGTCCAGGACGTCCTCCAGGCCGCCGAGGGAGCGCAGGACTCTGTGATGAAAAACATCTGCTGCCAGTGGCTGTCTGAACATCACAACAAGTCATCTCAGCAGCGCCAGGCCCGAACCAACGCCAGGTAAAGGCGCAGTCGGCACAAACAAGGGATTACACGGAGCGCTTCAACCTCGAAAAACAGATGAGCCGCAAATGAAGCGCAAATAAGAGGATCCAGGGTTTCTAATGTTACACAGCTGTAGAGGTGAGTGATCCGTGAGCTTTCACATCGATAAGACCGCTCACTGTCAGAGAGCAGACAGGACAGAGTTTGATGCGTAAAATCGGTTCCCCATTAACCAAAGTAAGACTAACCCCACTGTCTTTAATATTTTGTATTATATGGGCTGGATTCAGACGTTTCATCTTCAGCGTCTGACCCGGAAGCACCAGATTTGGCTTTGTATGTAGCTTTGAATCATGCTGCTCATAGTATCACTCAGTATGTGCTGAAGAAGTAGAACTCGGGTCAGAAATGGACTCAACTGTCAGTTAATTCTAAAACTTACAGTCCTTTCTGTGTCGCTTTGAGACGTGACCTAACGTCCCCTGATTTCTAATTCTCACCTTGCTGCGGTTGTGAACAGGTGTCCTCTGTCAGGTCTGGTTATGTGTGCAACAAAACACACTTCTGAGCTGTCACTGATACCAGGTGTGGTCAGAGGTGAACAACAACAGCTTTGCACCAGAGAGGACAGAAACATCCAGAAACCCTGACGATCTCTCTCTCTCTCTCTCTCTCTCTCTCTCTCTCTTTACTTTACTGCGGCCTTCCCGTCTGTGAATCTAACGAATCACCGCCGTGCTTTGTTTCCACTGCGGAAATATTTGGCTGTTATCTCTCATCTGTACGGTGTTTGAGAGGGAACAATGTTACTGCACTGGAGTGACAGATCTTACATAACACTACTGCACAGCTGCAGTGTGAACAGACGCAGTCGCTCTCACTCTGTATATCAACACAGTAACTCAGTATTTGACTGAAGATTCGTCTCCTACCTCAACCTGAAGGGAAAGTATCTTGAACTGACTGGAAAGCGTCTGATAAACGTGTAGGTCCTTTTTCCTTTTATGTCGTCATTGTGTCAGCGTGTGGAGAACAGACGTAAAAACCTACGACCAAGAACAGTACAAGTTCAAAACCCTTGAAGAAACTGAAAATGTCGTCTTGTTTTTGTAATCCCGATGAAGCTGTTTCCCTGTTTTACATTGTGTAGCACATTTTCTGGCTTTCAGCATACAGTCCCTTTATGATAAGGGGAATTAATATCAAACCATTTGAAGTATTTAAGGGCATTTAAGACAAGTTTTAGGTTGGATACAGAAAGGGACTGACTTCTAGATCAGGTTTAATTCATTATCCAGAAAATCAACTGTCTAGCCTTTAGTTTTTGTGTCTCATTATATGTCATCTTGTGTTTGGGTAATGATCACCACTGTCACTAATTTTAAATCATGCTTTTCACTTTCTTCTCTTGTGAGACGTGACCCACAGTGAATTATATAAATCCATAATGATTAACTCACACAGATAATGAGTCAAATAGTGTTTAGAAAAAGGGATTTAACTGTAACTGTGGCCACATGCGATCTGTCGATGTGCATTATTGTTTTTTTTTTTTTGTTGCCTGCTTTCCTCACAAACCTGCGACCTGGATAACTCACGCCTTTTAATTCACTCACACGACAATCGCCCCATCGCTGCTGAAGCTGCCTTGACAAGAATGTGCATTTCAGAGCTGCTCTGATCACATGGTCGAGAAGTTCGTCTTTTCTTGAGAGGAGAAACTGTGTCGTCCCTTTGCCTTGCTTCCCTCTGCTGCACTCGTCTGAAGACCGATCCTCCTGTGATGGCGAGCGCTGATCAGCAAGAGGTCGAATGGAGTCGGTTTAGACTTTTGAGACGTTCTTGCGCTCTCATCCTCCTGAACTCGGACTGTTGTCTCATCACTGCCGCACTTTATATCAGTGAGTTTAAAGAAATAAACTTCTATTGGGGGAAGAAATTAAAAAAATATGTAATAAAGTAACTGCTCTAATGATGCAGGGACTAATGATTGTGAAATGTAATTGATTTCGCCATCACTTGTCAAATAAAATGAAAATGAAATAATAATAAAAAAGTGTAATAATAATAAAAAAAATAAAAAATAAAAGGAAACTTAATGCTGCCTGGTTTCTTGATATTAAAGGAAACATGCTGAATGGGAAGGATTTATACTGCTCTCTGTTTGCTAAACATGAAGCTACTGCTAACTTAGCTTAGCATAAAGACTGGAAACGGGGGGAACAGCTAGCCTGGCACCGTCCAGAGGAAACAAAATTCATCTTGAATAAACAGTTTGATCTTGTTTGTTTAATGTGCACAAAAAAAAAACAATATTTAAACCAAAAAATCCCCAAATTTTATACAGGGTTATGTGCTGGACTGTTTATTGATCGGGATCAGTAACTTCATGGAGACTGCTAGCCTTAGCTACATATTTAGCATACAGATATACACTGAGGAGCCACAACATTAAAACCAGAGACCTGTTTTAACGTTGTGGCTGATCGGTGCATAATTGTTTTGGCATTTGGCTTCTAAAGATATCTTATAAATACAGCTAATATTAGCTCAGCCTAAGAGTCATAGCTTACAATATGTGCACTTACAACTTAGCTCTTGTCAGAATGTGAATGTGTGACGTGTGAACTTTCCTTTTTATATAGTTTGTCGTCTCTGATCGAACTGGAAACTCTTGTTCTGTGCCGATGATTCATTTCTCTGTGTTTTTGCTGATGGATGATGATTTCAAAGGATCAATACGGCGACTTTTTTATAGTAATATTTCCGTTTATTTACATCATATGTAAACATTCAACTCTTAACATGAATGTAAGTGTAGTAAAAGGCATGTTTCGCTTGTATAAAACAGAATGTAAACTCTTGGCAACCTTGCTTGTGAATGCTGAGAAGGAAACATGAGTCGGGGAAATCCTTATAAATGCAAAACTGTAGTTCCTCCGGGAATGTGCAGTTTTTGGCAATGCAAATGGAGGAAAAAAAAAATCTCTCTGCATGTACTGCAGTGACACGATTCTAACTCTGATTTGGTTAAAATAGAAAAAACTTTTCTCAAAACCTACATGTTCTACATTTATCAGAAAATACATTTATGCAATTCAGGCGATAATCGTGGCTCAGACTGACGCTGATCTTCAGTAGTTTACTCATTAAATCAACCTGGAAACTGTAAGAAACCCTGCAATTGTTTAGAAATGCTGGCACAAGAGTCAAGCAGTTCAGCTGCAAAGTCTGGAGCGATCAGAAAACACAATATTGGATAGGTGCTGGTCTTTTACCCTGGCTTGACCCTTCACAGTATCCTACAGCATTACAATACATCAAGTTGCTTTTTTTTTTTTTTTTTTTTGCCCACACTGTCGTCACATTGTGTCACAGAAATATAAGGTCAAAAAGTCTGTTACATGTTAATACAGCTGAGCGCTTTCGTTTCGTGGAGCCGTCGTAGAGCATCAAGAGACTTGAGTTATTATAATGTAATTACTGCATTATTTCACAAAAAAAAAAAATAGAAGCAACTTCACATTATAGTACCTCTTATATAATTACCTGACTGCCTATTAGGTAAGAATCTTTCAAAGTACAGAACATCAAAACCATAATGAAACAAACGAAAGAATGATAACAGAAAGGATAAGGACTCCTCGGAGAACTGAGATAGATGATGGTTACAAGTTAAATCAGTCCCACTCGATACCAAGAAGCTCGCAGCTGACGTCCCACAGCCTCCTCGCCGTCTCCTCACTCCTTCCCTGTGGGGCCACAAAGGCAGGGGCGCAGTCACTGGAACGAGAGGAAGGGGGAATGATCGTTACATAAGGGCCAATGACGGTGTGAGTCACCTCTAGGTGCAGTGATCTAATTAAACTTTGACCTTGTGCATGAGGATATGGATTGGTATCATAATTCATTTTTATCTGTCCACAGAAACGAGGAAGTGTTTGACGTGGCTCTTAAAAAGGAGGAAAATAAAATCGTAGCTGTGATTGTAAGATTTTAAAATCAAGCTCTGATCGTCTGCTGCCTCTCTTACCCTACAGCACATTTAAATTTCTTCCATCTGTGGAAACCTACAGTGATGTTCAACATCTGGAAGTGTACGGAGGAGCAGGGATGTCTCAGGAAAAGTAATAATTTCTTTAATTTCATGTTTTAATAGGCATGAAAAATAGGAATTATAAAAAGAATTTATTAATGAACGATTAATCCATCAATAAATACTTCAGATTTTAAAATGGATTTACAAAAACAGCAGCAGACAATAAGACGGTCCTACATTAAAGTATAGCTTCCCTGCAAAGAGATAAAACAAGAAGAGCTGAAACACGCCTGCCTGTGTTTCCAGTGTCTCTGGTTCCACAGGTTCATCTCCGTCAGACGTTTCAGAAAATCCTGAATATGAAAAGTTTAACATTTTCAACTAAACCAAATCACATACTTGGATTTAATTTTTTTTAACCATTCTAGTAGGATGCAGATCGGTTGGTTGCTGCATCACTTTGGTTCCTGGATGGATGAATGGATTGTCAAGCCAATTTGTGACAGACATTCCTGATCGCCAGAGGATAGATCCTGATTACTCCGGTGATCATGACTTCAAGGGAAATGTCCTGGCAACCACTGGATGCACGGTCTCCTCAGCACGAACTGCTTTTGTTTTTTTGTGATTCCAAAATGTAAATTCGTCCAGTACTCCGGGTTATTACCAAGTACCTGCAAATCTATAGATGCTAAACATTAGCATATTAGCATTGTCTGTCACCTGACCACTGGTGTGGCCTACCTGAAGTGTTTCCCGGAGACAGAGTGCAGCTCCTCCGCTGCAGCACAGTAGATGCTGGTCTGGGCTCCTTCCCGGGGGGTTTTAACGAACATGGAGAAGACCGTCATGAATATCGTCATGAGAGTCGAGTGTCTGGTCAGGTCAGAGTTCACCGTCCCCGGATGGACTGAGTTCACCGTCACATTGGTGCCTGTGAGAAACAACCAGTCGGGGTCACTATGGGAGATATCTTATCTGCAGTGTCGTGCTGAATACTGGAGGATACTGTTGTTTATGTGACCTGCCAAACTACTTCTTCTTCTGTTCATATATACTGAACCTAACTAGAATCCTTTGATGCTCCATTTGTGTCTCCTCATGCAGCCGATACTAGAGATCAAGTGAGAATCAAACCAGCGACTGAGATGACTTCACTGTGAGCTTTATTGATAATGTAATATATTATTGTCTTGTTTTCTTCATATGTTTTTAGCTTTTGTAAAATGTTTGTCTCTTGAAAGAATGTTTAAACACTGAATAACAAAATGAAGACTATGATGATTGATCGATCATGTGACCGACGTGTGCGGATTTATCACACCTGTGAACCTGAAGAAGCCGCTGGTGAGACGCGTTGCTCGCTCTGAATGAAAGTCACGGTGACGTCATGTCAGTGAAATTTAAATTCACAACAGCCTCACACTTTCAGGCAAAATCAACATGTTTATAAGAATTCAGGAAGAAAAGGACTTTCTTTATCTCTTCACCTCACATCACTGATCCACTCTCCTTCACTACTGTGTCTGCCAGAGCAGAGCACCACATCTGTGCACTCTCACATGTGTGTGTGTGTGTGTGTGTTTCTTTGTACATGTGTGTGTTTGTGCACCTTTGAGTCTGCGGGCCAGCTCTCTGGCAAAGAGCACATTTGCCAGTTTGCTTTGGCAGTATGCTAATCCGCTGTTGTAGCTGCCCTGGCTGTGAAGGTCGTGGAAACGGACCCAGCCGAAGTTGTGTGCCAGAGAGGAGACCACGATGATCCGGGCCGGCGCGCTGCGTTTCAACAGCCCGATAAGGAGGGATGTCAACAGGAAGTGACCTGCCAGAAGTGAGACACACACACATATATATATATATATATATATAACCTTGATTTAATCAGATAATCTCCGATACCAATCCTGACTGTAAAATCAACACTTCACATTTCTAATTCTCTTCATAATGTGCATGTAATTAAAACCGTGTCTTCTGGTTGAGCAGTGGATCTAATCAGCTGACGATTAATTATTATTATTCTTAGTTCAACTCATTTTACCTTCAGTTTTATTTCCCAGTTTTGAGACTGATTACAACATTAGTTCCTGAGAGTAAGTGGCATCAAACGTGTGAATGAAAATAACTCTTATTTGTAAATTTGGTATTTGTTAATATTAATAGCCTCTGAAGTTAGCATCATCATTAGCCACATATGACGTGCCAAAAAAATATATAATATTGAAGCGAAACAATAAGCCCCGATGATGCTGAAGAAATGTTTCTGAAATGATCAGCTGATGTTCTTACATGTAAGTTTGGATTCGCAGCTTTAACATGAGTCACTTCTGTTGATTTGACTGATTAATTGTGCATGAAATATTACTCTGACAATTCATATCCATTGAGTGAATCAATCAGTTCCTCCATTAGATTGATTGATTGACTGATTTGATTGATTCCATTAAATGTCTGTGAAGTCTTACCCAAGTGATTGACTCCTATGTGCATCTCGAAGCCATCAATGGTTTTTGTGTAAGGGCACATCATCACCCCGGCGTTGTTGATGAGGATATGAAGATGGGTGACCTCTGAGGAAGAGGACGTCACAAAAACAAAAGAAACGCAGCTGCTGTGATACCTGATCAATAACGACACACTGGGGCTGTGTAGGCAGATGCGAGTGTTTACCTCTCAGGAATTTCTGTGCGAAGGCACGTATGGAGCAGGTATCTGCCAAATCCAGCTCTCGAACCTCCACGTCTGCTTTGGGGTACGCAGCTCGTACACTGGCCGCAGCCTCCTCGCCCTTTTCCACGTCTCGACACGCCATGATGACCCGAGCCCCTGTCATGTGAGTGAAATCATCATAAGCTATGAACAACACACAGACGTGACTTTATAAAAAAGATCATATCAACATGTATCAGCAGGCTTTATATGTAACATGTCTACGATATAAATATATAAACACACATTTGTATATATGTCAATTTATGAATTATTTCCGATTTCTAATGGTTTTTATATTATAATTATATGGAAGTTCAACATGTGTACATATATTATATTCGCCTGTAAAGAGGCTCTCTGCTCTACAGAGTATTTGAGGGTAAAACTAAAGAGTCACCTCTGATTGCCAAGTCCCGCACTGTCTCCTTCCCAATCCCTGTGTTGGCCCCAGTGATGAGGACTGTCTTCCCGTCCAGGCGAGCTGTGGACATGCACACTCCTCCTGCCGCATACTTTCTGTTGATGCACAATTACCACTGATGAATTAATGATGGAAGCACAGTGTCATGTCCCACAGCAGACAGCTCCTTCTGACTGACTGGCAGCCTCTTCTACAGGCACTATAAGCTCTGTCCTGGTTTAGATTGGACATATGGACATGTGGACACATGGCTTAATTATTCATAGAGAAACTTGGATCATGAACCTTCCTGAGCGTCAAGTCGTACGACCCACGCCACTGAGCAGGGACGTCCCATAACCAATAGTTGTGTTGGAGTAATGCATACAAATATAACTCCTCCCACGCTCAGCCTCCTGATAGGCCTGGAAGACACCCGCTTCACCTCCGAGCTAAAACTCCCACAGCTCCATCGTTCTGTTGTATTGATTTTCTGCTCAGAAAATCAGCGTCGTGCCAGATAATAGATAACAGGAAAATAAAAACAACTTAAAAATGACGATCAGTGAAGTAGATATATACACAGTGCTTTCGTAATGTAAACGCACCTCATCGTAATAATTACATCAGTGCAATGTACTGCCCTGTCAACCAAGTAACAACCGTGCCCGTGATGTGTGTGTAACACTTGGATTTGTATTGGATTGAATGAGTGTAATCTTTGGTTCTTACCGGATATGTGGCGCAAATAAAATCACCAGTAACGTCACCACTCCGAGGCCCGCGATAATTAATAAAAGCAGCATTGTGCCGCGGATCTGCGCCTTTCCGTCTCCTCCGGCAGGATGCCACTGTTCTGTGGGCAGAACAGCTGATGTCAAAGCATAGAGGGGTGCAGAGCGTAGCGGGGGTGACGGATACACCGCGCATGGAATCATGGGATTGTAGTTTTTTACCACCTGACCAGAAAAAAAACTGATGCTTAATTGTTTTACATTATGATTACACTTATTTGTGTCGGCACATTGTCTTTTTATTTTCCTGTTGTGTTTCAAAAAGTAAAATTTCACTTTTTTTCCCCTTTTGTTTACTAATGTTATTATAGCTTTTAAAATCTATTATAGCTCATCTTAAGCTACTTGATTCTTGTTAGCTCATCAGCCTGTGAAGCACTTTGAACTGCACTAACCTGTATGAAAAGTGCTATACAAATAAAGTTTGATTGATTGATAATTATAGCATAGCCATTGCATATAGAATAGCCACTTATCACAGACAAACAGGACATCAGTATAATTATAGCGAATTAAATTACCTTGGGACTGATTAATACAAGTCATCTCTAATAACTTCTGTTTCTCCAGAAACTTTATTTGGCGTCACAATACAATTTTTTTTTAAAGAAAAAAAGAAGAAACATGAAAAACCAGAGAAAATCAGTGATTACCGTGAACAAACACGGATACAAATAAATACATTTTAAAAAAGTACATAATATGAAAATGGGTAAATAAATACAAACAACATAAGTTTACATGTAAGGGGTCAAACATATCAAGTTTATACTTAAAATTAAATAAATAACTAAAATGAATTGTTGTAACCGAAATGGTTTAGTAGCTGGTAGTACAGTGGTAATAAGGCCTATTCAACAGTTCTAAACACATATCACTACATGAATAATTTAAAAAACCAAACTGCTATTTTACACTATGCTCTTAAAACTACATTTCCCAGAAGGCCCTCGTGAAAGCTGTCTGCATAGCGCCTGAATAAAATAGTTATCGCTGTGGTTTTGCGTAGTTTTCACGTAGTTTTTGCATTATATTCACAACCTTTGGAGTGTAAGGTTTAGTATTAGTTTTTTAGATTTAATTCTTAGTAAAAAAAAAAAAATTTATACCAAATTATGTTGATATTTGATTTTTGGTTTGGCGTTTTTAGGCACTTAGTCACGAGGCCCATCATGCGGAAGAGTCGCGGGGATCTGATTAACATCAAAGCAAAACCACAGGATTCATTTACTGTTGTGACCGTTATCGGTGGTTTGTTTTACCGCAAAAGACGAAGCGGTTTGTAAAGAAAGAGCGGCGGACAGTTGGTTCAACATGTCGTCGGAGGAGTTCGAGAAAATGCACGAAATCTACCGATCTCTGTACGAAGAGCTCAAGCTAATCCCAGACAGAGCTCTGAAGAGCAACGGAGGTAAACATTGTGTGTTGTTGTTGTTGTTTTACTTCTGACCAACTGATCAACATGACAGGTAGTTCAGAAGATGTGTTCACGTGTGCTGTGTAAAGGGAAACTTGTGTTGTTTTATCCGCAGAGGAGAGGAAGAGGTTGGTGAGGACCTTCGATGAGCGGCAGGGGGAGGCTGAGGAAGTGGTGAGCTGCTCTCTTTGATTTGTGTCGGACGTGATATCTGATATTTTAAATGTACTTACATCACAGCAGGGTGGACAGTAACCACGTGCATTTACTACATTTACCTGTACTTAAGTATGTTTTTCAAGTATCTGTACTTTACTTGAGTATATTTTGTTTTGGAAACACTTAAATAGACAAATATTGTACTTTTGACTCTTACTTTGAAGCAGCTTTTAGTCAGTGGAATGCATTGTCTTTTATTTTGAAAATACTGTAATACTGCTGCATTTACATCTTTGAACAGTTCAGTTTGAACCTGGCAGTGGCAGGTCTGACAGTGTTTGACATTTTAGAGATAAAGAGAGATTCCTTTAGTTTTAAATCTTTGATTTGTGTTTACCACGACCAAACCTCATCCCTGCCTAAACAAAGACAGAAATATGAAAACAACAATGGCTCCTTTTGTTGGATCAGCTGTTTTATGGCCGTTTCCTAAAAGAGTTTGTATCATATTGTACAAGCTGTTTATTCTTCAGGTTCTACAGTCAGTTGGTGCTTCAGCAGGTTGTTTCAGAGTCATTTGGTTCTTTAAATACACTGAGGAACAATACAACAACGTGTTGACAAACATGTACTTTTCAATACTTAAGTATTTTTAAAATTAAATACTGCAGTACTTTAACGCAAGCAAACAAACTGACTGAACAACTTTCTCTTGTATTTCTGTAATATTTGACCAGGAGGATCTGTACTTTTAATTTAAGCTCTGTGTAATATTGACTGTTATTGAGATAAACTTTGTTATTTTGCAAGAATTCTCCCGCTGTTGCTTGTTTTATAAACCAAACACTGTGTTCAGATCTTCACTTGTCTTTAAACTAGAGTCCGGTTTCCAAGCAGGTTTCACGAAACTTTTACAGAGAAAGATCTTCTTTAATTTCCTTATCCGTCTCCAGTTGCAAGGAATGGAAGAAGAGCTGCGCGCTGCCCCTCCTTCCTATCGAAACGCCATGGGTACAAAGCTGCGCCTGTACCGCCGGGATCTGGGCAAGCTTCAGAGGGACATGAAAACATCTGCTCCCAGCTTTGGCTCTTCTTCTCAGGCAGTGGGAGAAAGTCATCACGGCATCTATTCATCACAAAATCAGCAAAGTGTGAGTGTGGCGTCGTACCCGAGACCCTTCACATGTCCGTATGATTGATTGCAACGCCTCACTATTGATATTGTATGAGCACCTTGATTATGTCAAAATATAGTTATAGGTTGTGTCCATTGTGTTTCTGGTTTTACTGTATATTTTTTGTTCCTGTTTTTATGCCTCTGCGCCGGCGACAGTCGGAGCCGCAGCCATGTTGTTTTCGGGTTGTCCGTCCCATTCTCGCGGACATGATATGTCGTTAACGCCATGACGGAACTTCTTCAGATTTGGCACAAACATTCACTAGGACTCAAGGATGAACTGATTAGATTTTGGTGGTCAAAGGTCAAAGGTCAAGGTCACAGTGACCTCACAAAACATGATTTTGGCTTTGCGAACACAATACCTGAGGGAATCCCTTCACATTTGGCACAAATGTTCATTTGGACTCAAAGATGAACTGGTTAGACTTTGGTGGTCAAAGGTCAAAACATCAGAAAACAGAAAAATTTCACACAAATGTTTAATATTTTAAATGATTCTGGATAAACAGGGATGTAACCTGACACTAGTCTGAGTGGAGGAGGCATGATTCTAGTTTATTCCTGTTTTCTTTCCTTGTAAATGTTTTTTCTCTTCTCACCAGTGTCTTTTAACCCGGTTGTCTCTGTCATTCTTGTGCAGACACACCTGCAGTCCCAGAGAGCCTTGCTGCTCCAGGGCACAGAGTCTCTGAACAACGCCAGCCAGAGTATTGAACGAAGCCAACGCCTCGCTGCGGAGACGGAGCACATCGGTACAGACATCATCGAGGAGCTGGGAGAGCAGCGGGAACAGCTGGACCGCACCAGAAACAGAGTGAGCTGGGAATCGTTATAAGGGATGAGGTTGTGGTGCTGTGTCAGTGTGAATAGCTTCAGTTTTAAATACGTGTCGTGATTCAACTGTTTCTCATATTTTATATAATAAGTGAAAAGAGTTTTCTTAGTTTGGGTTGGTTAGTTGGGTTAGTATGATTTAGACTAGTTGTGTTTTTCATCGCAGCAGTATTAGGAGAGGCTGATAATTACGCCTGATAATAATCAGACCACGGTTTTGTTAAATCTCTTCTTTCTTTAATTATTGTGTAGTTGGTGAACACTGGAGAGAACCTCAGCCGAAGTCGAAAAATCCTCCGTGCCATGTCGCGGCGGTAAGTGTTAACCCTGAGTTTAATTTATCTCGTTACATTCATACATTTTCATCCATGCACTTAATGAATGAATGAATGCTTTATTTATGTTATGTTCTTTGTCCTTTGGACTCTGTAGCTTGTATGATAGTAAACTTTATTGCGCACATTGATCATTAGTCACACATGGATTTGGTGAATAATTAATTCTGATTAGCTAATTAATGCATTTCTGAACAACACTGGTGATAATGGCTGCAACTAACAGTTATTTTTATTGATTAATCTGGTGATAGTTTTCTCAATTGATCCTTTAAACTATAAAATGTCAGAAAATAGTGAAAATACCTGGTATCATTTCCCACAACCAATGACGTTTTCAGATGTCTTGTTTTGTTCCGATCAACAGTCCAAAACCTAAAGATATTCAATTTACTATAATGCATTTCTGTCGATCGACTAATTAATTGATCAATTGCTGCAGTTCTGCTGATGATAGACCTCAAATAACATCACTCTGAACGTTTAAAATCAATCTATTCAGATGATTTCTAATCAACAGAAGTGGTGACAGTTCTCTCTTGGGAGTCTCGCTGTTTTTTTTACTTATAAATTAATTTTACGTCATAATTTCATAGAGTGTGATCAGTGTTTCTTTTAATTTGCTTGTGGGACAATAACCAGAGCCTGTTTTCTCGTTGTGTCTCTCAGGCTGATGACGAACAAGTTGCTTTTAGGTGTCATCATTTTAATGGAGCTGGCCATCCTGGGCGCTGTGGTTTACCTCAAGTTCTTCCGACGATGAGCAAACTACCCATCCTGAAAAAGAGTCTCAGCTCTGGATCCGGGACAAACCCGGATTCTCTACATCTGTCCCCATTGACTATTCACTAGCAATAATGCTGTTCTGCTGTATTCAGCCAACTGTTTCTGTGAGTGCAAACAAGGACAAAGAAGTGATTCAGTAAGTGAACGTTTACTGAGAGACGATTCTGTCCCTCGCCGGGTGATGTCCATTTGACAAGAATAACATATTGTTGAACCTGTTAATGGACCGAACCCACAGGAGCTCCGTGGTCAAACTGTGAACTGAGATTTGCACTGTTTGCTCAGACTGTTTTCTCCAGTGATCCCTGCAGGACGATGTGCTGGACTTGGCTGCTACAGATCCCACAGATCGTTCTCTGTGAGGTTTCAGTCGAGACTCAGTCCCCCGTGTGAAGACTCTGTGAAGTGATACTGACGCACAGCAGTTCTGTGAGGTTTATAAATTCTCACAGTGGGATGACTGTTAGTATTCAACACCATTCTATTGTTGATTATCTTTATAAAACTAACAGTATGTGATGAAATGGCACCAACTATCTGTTTTTCCAGATGGTTGGATTGAGTTGATTTTTCCAAATCTGAGACGTGAGGAAGAATTGGTCAGTCAGAGGTGTGAACAGAGAAAAAGTTGGGGGGGGGGGCTCTTAACACAGATACTATGTTCTTAAAGATCAATATTGTTGTTTAATCTCTGTATAATTCAAACATCATTGTTAGAAATAGGGTTCAGTGTTCTTTATTTGACATTTACACATCATTAAAGCTAATCTTTAACCTCTGTTTGCTTTGCAATATTTCGATTTTAAGGCTGCCAAACAGGCCATGGTTGAAAACAAACACTATGGAGCTGACATGGCAAAAATTATTTACAGGCTAAAGCTTCAGAGCGGGTCAGGTTAGTGCTGGGTAAACAGCATCTGTTACTATGGAATTAAATCTGAAATAATGGGTGATAAGGTTATTTTTAGTGACGTGTTCCTGAAGTGGCACAGCTGCTGCAATGTTGTTCTTCCGAATAGATATCATGCTTTCCTAGAGTGATGCCAAGTACAACAACACGTCTGGTGACCTGGCCGTGTGGATGAGATGCAGAGCGGGAGTTTGGGTAGAAGAAAAGTTTTTAGTTTTTTTTTGCTTTTATCTGAAATATTCCTTCACATTCCCTTTAAAAAAAGCTAAACAAAAAGCGCACCTGCTGCTCCAGGTTTATAGAGGATTCAAAGGGTAATACTGAAGTTGTATAACCTCTTGTAAATTATGTAAGATTTTTATTAATACAACCAATCATATAACTATGTTACCAGCAATAACCGAGACTTTTTTTCAGATACTTGCATCATTTTTCAGCCATGTCTGATCAGTCCAAACTGAAATATCTCAACATTTTCATGTATTTAATTAGACCTTAAAGATCATTGAGGTCCCTCTTATTTACTATGATGTTGAAATACTACTGGGGGACTTGAAGCATAAGACTTAGTAGATCGAGTTCAGTCTGGTCCTGTGGTCCAGTCCAGCATAGATCGTTATACGTGGTGGCAAATGTCCAATCAGGGCTTAATGAATTAAAAGGTTCAGGTGTTTATCAGAGAAGACCAATAAACTTTGTTATTCAGATGCAGAGGTGAGTGTCAGAGGGATCTCTGCTAATGAATCTGAGGGCAGAGTGATAAACTGAGTCTGGGGGTTTGAGAGTGAGAGCAGCAGCATGTCTATAGATAATATCACCATAATCTAGGGCTGATAGAAAAACTTTTAACACAGTTCAACCAGAAGCTGGATCTGTTTCTGTACAAAAATCCAGGGTTTTGCTGCAGTTATATAAATACCAACATATTTATACCGTGACTCTTTTGATATTGCTACCATTTAGTGTGGATAGGTGTAGGCTGTTAAAATCTATATCTCTTACTCTAGAGAAAAACATGAAGTTAGGTTTGCTTGCATCGAGCAGCAGCTTTAGGTTGATACAGTAAGTGCATCTTTAATCGCACTAAAAGAGATTTGTAGGTTCTCAACAGCAAGTTGCAGAGTCAGATAAAACAATACAGAACAGTGTCATCAGTGTAAAGATGGACATTACAGTCAGTTAGGGAAGAGACAATATTATGACTGTAAATTGTAAATGAGACAGGACCCAGAACTGTTCCCTGTGGAACACCTGATCAGGTTCTTTCCAGCTTTGAGACACTGAATTCTTTCAGAAAGGTGATTTTGAACCATCTACATGCAACTGAATCAAACCCAATATTACAGTGTCTTAATCAGCAGCCAATGGTCAACTGCAGCATAATATTTGCTTTTGTCCATATGAGAAAAAATATAGTTTACAACTAATGTTAAAATGTTAATGTGCTAAACTAACATGGCTAACTCTACAGGTTGTTGATATAAAAAGTCAAAACTCACAGAGCTTGCTAGTGTGGCTAACAGGCTGACAATGCCCCAGTGCACCCCCAGTTTTAAAATTCAAAACTGATATTGCAATATAAAATATAAAATATAAAAAAAAATACATTAGTAGACTAGAAAAATATATAGATTAAGGCACATAGCTTATTTTTAATATACCAGTCCATGTAAGAATAGATAACTAGATATAAATAAAGTTGTCCTCCTAAGAGTCCAATCACAGCAGTCTAGAACCGGACCTGGTGGCTAAAGGCTCTTGTGAAGTCTTGTTCAAATATGTGGAAATGAAACAAACGAGGGAGGAAATAAGACGCCTGTACACATGGAGAAAAAATGTAATCACATTTATGGAAGACCAAAATATAAACTCTGTTACAAGGACAAGTCATTCAGTGGCCACATCAAGTCAAATATCGACCAGGCATTCGATCAATTCAAGCTTAATTAAGCAAATCATTGGGTTTTTTTTTTTCCCAGCATTTGTGAGCAAACCTGGATATTACAGTGTTCAAGCCAATCAATACTGATGTAGTCAGTCAATATTTGTACACGCAGTAATCCTAGTACATGTACTGGTAGGTTCATACAAAAGTAAACTCTAAAGAAAATACAGTAACCACACCTGGTCCAAAAGTGCAAACACATCATTACTAGTTTTTAATATCTGGCACAGCCACAAGAGTCCATGTTAAACTGTGGACTTCACACCTCGTCAGACTTGGTTTATCATACCTCTGAGGCAGGTTCATTCTCTTGGAAACCATCCACATAACAAAAATGTGGCGGTTCTGTCCTCTAACACTTCACTCATTATTTATTACTTTGTACATAAAGGAGCAAAATAAGTTAGCGTTGCTGTTAAAATGAGTGGTAATCCCATTGCTATGTGTAGTAGTTTCTATGTCCACGGCTTTTCACAATTATCTATGTGAATTTTCTCTCCACAAAATAGTAAAGCCTCCTCACAGGTTTTCATAAATCAAGACATGTTTCATGGTTTAAACATTACACTAAACAGCAAAATGAAGGGAACAAAAAGTTCAAAACTTGAGCTACTATTAGATTCAGTCTTTGCAGTCTTGTATTCAAAATTGCGGAATGCTCAGGGATGACGTTGATAAAGTTCATAGCGTTGCTTCATGCTCTTAGATGCGGAGCTGCTCTGTGTCGTCCTTCGCAGACGGGCTCTCGTCGATGGACGCGTGAGCCCCTTCTCTCGTCTGTCCGAGAGACGACGCGATGACGTCAACCGCTAAAGATGCGGTGGCCTCCACGGCTTCAGGGGTGGCCCCCAGCACGGGGTTTACTTCCACCAGGTCCATGGCTGACAGCAGGCCTGCCCATCAACACATTCACAAGTTAGATACTAAAACCCCCACAATAAAAGTCTTTTAAGGACAGAAAATCAGATAAAATAAGGTGTCTGTTATCTGTCTTTTTAGGCTTTTGCAACCATATATTTGTAGACATTTGTACCTGTGTTGTGGATTTCCTCTGTGATGTAGATTCCCTCCCTGTAGGTCAAACCTCCGTTCACTGGCGTTCCTGTGGCGGGGGCCAGAGACGGGTCGAACGCATCGATGTCAAAGCTCAAGTGGATCGGTCGCTGTTTTCTGTCCAGGAAGGTGAGAAAGTTAAAGTTCATTCAATTCAGACATGGGCATTAAATCTTAAAAATAATCATCCAATCATATTAAAATGTTACAGTACCGGAATATCAGCATATATCATAGGTAACACTTAGACATACCTTGCCAACAGATGGTCAAAAGTGACTTCCATAACTCTTTGGATGCCTAGTCTGTCAATATCCCTCATGGTGAAGTACTGGATACCCAGGTTCTTCAGGATGTGGCTGCAAAAAACAACATTGAAAAAACATCAACATCAATTCTCACAGTGCTTAAGTGTTGGAAAATAAAAGTTATCATACATCAGCCACATGTGGTGAAACTTCTTATAAGTAACTACTCACTGCTCTCCGGGGTCGACGTCCCGCAGACCGATGTACACCAGGTCCCTCGAGGTGAGGAAAGGCTTTGTCCAGGAGAACCCTGGGATATCTGGCATCTGTGGTAGACGGAGATAATGTAATATAGAATTTATATAAAGATAGGAACACACACACAAAAAAAGGGTGATATCTAGACTTTTCTTTAATGTTGGCCCATGATTTACACAAAGGTCATTTTTAGCACGCCATTATCAAATATTATAAAATGATAAAATATAGAACTGTAGAAACTGTAGAAAGTAAAAGTATCTTGATAGAGGCAACTAACCTTCTAAATACAGGTAAAGTGTCTGCTTGAGAACCTCGTAACAACCAAACATTTGCATATAAGAATGGATTAGTGAAAGCGCCTACAGGCCACGGGCCCCTGGGCGAGACGCTTTGTTTAGTCATTCAGACTGATAAGAGTGTGTGTGTGTGTGTGTGTGTGTGTGTGTGTGTGTGTGTGTGTGTGTGTGTGTGTGTGTGTGTGTGTGTGTGTGTGTGTGTGTGTGTGTGGGTGGGGCTGCGTCGGTGGGGGCATGTTTGATTTAATGAGGCCTAATATTTCTCCTCACCTTATCCTGCAGCTCTTTGAGCATGAACGCCACAGGCTGTCCGTGGAGGTTTCCCGATGGCGAGGTCATGGGCGTGTTCACGTCGGCGTGAGCGTCGACCCAGATGAGACACAGGTCGGGACACTGCTGAGCATGGCCGCTCACCGATCCGATGGCAAGGCTATGAAAGGACAGGGACAGTCTTTAAAATATCTGGTGTCTGTATTGGACAAATTGAGAGACTGAGTGCGTCTTTGCAGGAGAGTCAAAGCAGTAACATATGGTGAAATGATATGCAGTAGCCTTGTAATACTATAGTAGTTGTACTGCATGATTTCTCACTCTTGACATGCAGTACATTCAGTACTCTGTGCAGTCCACATTCTGAGATAATTACCTGTGATCACCTCCGAGCATGACGAGAGTGTGTCCAGCACCGATGGCTCTGCTCACTGCGCCGGACAGCATCTTATTTGCTGCGCCCACGTTGCGAGGAAACTTCACGTCCATGTAGGGTTCGTCCTTCTCAAGGTGGCGAAAGTTGAGGTCGCCAAAGTCGTGGACAGAGTAATCTGAGGAAGCAAAAACAAGCTGCCATTAAATGAAGACAGAAGTGCAGAGTCACCCTTTTGGTGTTGTTTACAAGGACTCAGCAGGGGTTCACTGTTTCACTGTTTAAGGACACACACCAGCTGTTGCACAGAGGGAACCTGTAATCAAATCTCTTCTTGACAATCTCCAACAGCCCTAATGTCTGTTATGAGGAAAACATTTGTATTTTGAAGACAGCGGGTGTCGCTTTGAGATCAAAAGGCTGCTTAATCCCCAGCTTCTATAGCATGACTTAACCTGCATCTGTCTGACCCCGCAGTCTGACGAGGCTGAGTCATTCAATGCCAGTGGAACATTAGTGACGGAGCACTTTCCACTCGTTTCCCCACCTCAGCTCCGGTTTCAGTCAGAGCCGGTCGCCCTGTGCCGGGGCGGCTGCAGAAGTCAAAGACTGAAAAATTTCCACTTAGTTTGGGACACAGACTGCGGCGCAAACAAGTGATGTGATCCACCATAATTGGGGCTTCATCTGGCAATGTGAGCCTTGATGACAGTGTAGTGTTACTCTGCTGATCTAAGGGGAACCGATGTGGTTCATTGCCATTCGTAGACGGGACAGGAATAGCCCTTGTCTTGTTGCAGCATCTATTGCAGGACAATTCAAAGAGTCTGTTACAGCAGGAACAAGCTGCGAGTTCCGCCTGTTTACTGTGAAATTCACCTTCACGGCTGCTACGTGCACCAAGGGTTTACTAGGTTCAAATCCCAATGATTATGAGTTTGATTATATGAATGAATGTTTTATTGAAACAGTTTGTACAAACTGACACTGACCCTGAGAGTGTAAAGACTTAAAGACGACATGGTACTTAGTGCGGTCGGGGTTTGGTTTCATGTGTTGGACTCAGTCAGTGACATGGCAGCGATCATATATCTTTTTTCACTGCTGCCAGTTTTACATCAGGACACCTGGAGAATGGCTCCTCACCCACTCACTGCCTCCAGCGTCAGTCCACTTAGATCATTTCTAAAACCTTCGATTTTAAACTTGAATGTTTTTTTAATAGAACATTTATTATTAAACCCAACAGCTGCAGGCTTTTTCTTTCATTGAGACTTAATTTTTCAAAGAGCAAAAAGCAAGGATTTAATTTCTTATAGTAAAAGAGGTTTTAAGAAACTCATATTTGAAATCAAAGAAAAAAGCAGAAAATAATGTTTGGTTTCCCAATAATCAAAAGAATTGATCACCTGCACCTAGAAATATATCTGTGCCTAAGAAGGAAAATATATTTTTATATAATATATGACTTATTGAATTATGAAAAATATTTCTTCACCGTATTCTAGACCAAGTTTAAACATATTGAACCTAACTCTAAATATATTTTAACATATTAGATGCTGTTATCTTTGACTCTGCAGTAAAATAACTGTACATATCTAATAACAACTCCATGCACTGGTGACTGTGTCAGTTTCAGAAAACAAAACGATGATGTCTGAACTCTGGAATGTGTGATGTTGCACAACAGCTGATGTTTACAGCTGATAACCAGATGCCAGGGGCCGGGGGCCAGGATTACCTGGCAAATACTTGAACTCTCTGGCTCTGTTCAATGGGCTCCAACACAGGAACAGGTGCTAACATCCTTACCTGTCACACATCTATATCATCTATTGTTTGAACAAATACATAATGAATCTGCCATTTTTCTATTAAATTCATATAAGAACTAACAGTCTGTGGAGCTTGGTGAGTTGGTGATATTAGGCTTTACTTGTGCATGGTGCTATTCTCTATAGTGCGTGTATTTATATTTATATATTTTAACCTCCACGCACCGTTGGCTTCAGACTTACATTTATATTTATTCAAAGCCTATGATATCTTTCTTTTCTTTGGAGTAATTATACTGTTTATAAGTTTATAATTACTTTAATTTCGTTTTTTTTTAAGGCAAAGTAATCATTCCTTCAGATAACATTGTTATTGTTATTGTTATTTTTTACTTTTCAACCAAAAACCTGTGACTGTCTGCAGGTCATCCTGCCTCCAGAGCTGCAGAGTCTAGATCTGCACCTAATAACACCTGCTGCTAAATTTACTACACTAAATGATAATTATTATCACTGTTATTACCTTTCATTATTACTCACAGTATATGAGTATGATTAGCATTAGTAGCATTACAGTTAGCATTATATTATCATTGCTGTTACTGCTGCTACCATCACTATTATCAATATTACTATCATTGCGTGCTGCCAACCGGCTTTCTCTTGGTGGGAGTTGTTGGGTCCCTATAAACAATATAAGATAGATAGATAGATATCTGTTGTGAAGTGGCACCGTACAAATAAAAACTGTCTTGACTTGAAATAAAAAAAGATTAATTATTAATCAATTACTGTGGATTACAGATCATCTGTATGTGTATCTGTATCTGATCACCCTGTTGTCTTTATTGGACTGAATGGTTTTATATCTGCTTTGGCACCATATTAATCTACTGTGTCCTTGGTGCTCGGAGGGGAGTTATCTGTGTCTGGACCACAGACAGACTGTAAGTGTCCTGGGCTGACTATATCATACTAAGAGGTATATTTAAACCTCCTACAGCTCTCTGCCCTTACATAACTCCTGGCGGTCTGTCGTAGGTCATTCTTATTTCAAGCACAATGCCACCGGGGCAGAGCTAGGTGTCCTCTTTCTTCTACAAAGCAGCCTTCTGCTGGATAATGGAGGCGTTTCCACTGAGACCACAAGAAGAAACAGAAGAAGAAGAAGGAGAAGAAGAAGGAGAAGAAGAGGAGTTGAGCAGCGCGTGTGACTCAGCCCGCAGTGACGACACAGTGGAAATAAATGAGCCACCCTCTTCCTGCGCCCTTCTGAGCATGTGCCGGGGACCAGGGTGACTAAACGAGACATGTGGCAACCCAAAAGACATGGTTTAGAGTTACCACAGTGTCCTCTCACAATAAGGCTGTTTCACACTGTCGCTCTGTGCTTCTTTGTGCTTTTATTGCCCTTGTATGGCAGCATTTTTCCGCGGGGACTGAATGAAGCTCTGTCATGAGGTAACAGTCTAGTCGCCATAACTTCACCATTACAACATCTCGACAGGGATTTACATCATTATTCGGGTTGAGTGAGGGTATTCATTGTTTTACCTACTTATAAAATTATACAGGCGATTTCTCCTATTTAAATTCATAATGTCACGTAGTAATGCACGTCGGCGAAAAGGATCTTGGGAAGACAGAGGGCTTTTATCACCCACTTTGTTGTCTGAGGCATGTGAGCTGGGATAACCTCTGCTAGTCTGCCTGTCGGATGTTTATATTTACTGTGTCCCGGTGATGTAACGGGCTGTCTAAACACCGGAGGTAGAAATTAAAGCTGTCTTTGAATGACCGAGCGAACCTGCAGGTTACACCCATCCACTGTTACATAACGCAGCGGCACCGGATGCTCCATTCTTATCCCCTCACCTACCTAAACCGGAGAGCCTCTCGATGAGCCCCGCATCTCTGATGACTTTAGGACCATGCTCCACACCCCTCCGTTTCTGTCAGGAACAACCCAGCAGAGAGAGGAGTTAGGTGAACGTTGAAGATGTTGGTTTATTTAAACAAAAACAAATACAAGTGAGATTAAAACACAAATAAAAGTCACATTCTTACCTGTCCTCTTGAAAACGGAGCGCCAAGCACAGCCACAGACTGAGCCCTGCTTTGTTGGCAAGTGGGGCTGAGGTTAGTTCTGAGAAGACGGAACAGAGGTCCTCTCAACGCCATGTTTCTTTTTTATAATCAGGAAGAGCCCAGTCCAAACGAAACAGACTCCAGAAAAGTCTGATGAAAGCGCAGTGAGATGTTGCTCCGGTGGATGCTGCCGCGTTGCTGCAAGGGGCCGCTCTTATGCCTTCTGGATCTCATTAATATTCATGAGCTGGTGAAGCGCGAGGCTGAGATGAATAGCGGAGATGATCGCATCTTAATTTATTAAAACAAACAGAATTGTTTTTTAAGAGTGTTTCGAAATTATCAGTGAATGTTACGCGTTTATAACATGTTATTAACGTTTATCATTAACCGTACGTGCCGTCCCATATATAGCGTCTGACGTCAGGATGAGGAACGGGAGGGGGTGATGACACACCTTCGGGTTAGCCAATGGGAGACGGCGAAATAAGTGGGTTCGTTCTGTGGGCGTGGCCTGAGCCCCTATCTACGCCAGGCCACAGCCTTTTTGAAATGTTTGTTGTGAAGCGCTTTACTGCAGTCTCATCTAGGTGGAAATTTCCACAGACGCAGCCAAGCGGGGGGTGATAGGCTTGTTTACATTGCAGCGTTTGGCTTAATTGTGTGTCCGCGGAGCTCCGGCCAAAACAGATCGGATTTCAGGTCAAGAGGAAAACACATCAACATCTTCACACCTTCCCACATATTATCGAGGTTATAGTAACAGGTGGATATTCTAAGGCTCCGCTATCAGGGCTGACATAAGCGTTCAAACATTTTTCCTTAATTACTAGCTAGATACCACTTCACTTGAGCTGTAGCCTACCGCTTAAAAAATACTCCATTACAAATAATAGTTTTGTATTCAAAATCCTATTGGTAAAAGTATATGCAAAATGTATCTAAAACTAAAAGTATCCTACTCATTGTATAGGCTTATATCTTTTATGGTGGATTATTATTACTGATGCATTCATGTGTACGTAGGAGTTAATCATTATTTATTTTTATAACTTTTAAAAATGTTTATTTTTTATTTTTTGCGAGCTCACCAAACCAAATTCCTATTAACTATGTTGTAACAATGGTAGTATTGAAGTACTGACTCTCAATTGATCTTTTTGTTTGATCTGGTCCAGGTAGAGCTAATTTGAACAACATTAGAGATTCTTGGGTCCTTCATAACAGTGCGTTGTTTACGAGCTCAAATGTTTTGCACATAATCCTATAATCTGCAAAGTAAATTATCATTATACCTGTCATCTAAATTGAGTAATAGTGTCATAGAATGAAAAAACTCAATTATATATAATAAAAATCGCCTACCATTATAGGCTATTATACCATGTGCAATGCTTCCTGTATGTAGTTTATAATATTACACCAGAAGCGTTGTCAGTGTCTTACAAAAATAAACAAACAATAAAAAAAACACAGATGCAATGTAAATAAAGCAGAAGAACACAGATTTATAGTAGATGTATATGCAAAAACTAAACAAACTAAAAATAAAATTGTTGACCAACACACTAACTGTCGTGAATCCAGTATTTGTTATCTTCTCCTCGATTTTCAGGTCTAGAACTTGAATTGATCTCAGTGGTTACTGGGCAACACCGAGCAGACAACAAGTGTTTTCCTTTCTACGTCATCAGCATACATTTCTGTGGCGTGACGCACCTAACGGCTGAAAAACTCCTGTATGTGGTATGTGCGCGCACACGCACGTAAAGAAGTGCTTTTAGGTGTTCCTGCTACAAAAATAAAGCGAGGTATTTGCCGCCACCAAGCGTTTAAAGTAGGGAAATGCAAAGTATTAGTATTTACCCACCCTGAGTACAGCCTGTCAGGCAAAACCTTCTCCCAGAAAGCATGTATTCATTCATTTGCAGCGATTAGTTTAAATTTATTCTACTGTGATAGACCCAATATAGTCGCTGCAAGTAGATTTTCATTCCATACTGAAAGGAGACCGTTTGGAATGAAAAATATATTAAAAAAAACTATGAGATATGCTTTGAAAAATAGTCAGAAGTACTGTTAAGAGGATAGCAGTGGAGTAAAACGTGCAAATATACTGGGACCAGCCACAAAACCAGACATACAGGGCAGAATAATGAGGTTATTGTTTTTGTTGTTGTTATTATTAGTATGTATTGTATGGTTTACATAAGAGGCTTCTGAGGGCAAAAATCGCCCAGTTTAGGAGCGAGTCCTCGCCTAAGAGACTAAATTTAGGGCACAAAACCCAAGTTCAGCCCTGTGCTATCCCATGATGCATTTCGAAAAGAATAGGTCCTAGTTATTTGTATCCATAGGGGTTCTTGTACCGCACCGGTGATAATTATAACGCAAATCATTAACGTGTCGTTTTTTCCGTTTACCGTGTTTAATGGGATTTTATTCGGACAACCTGTACTACTATTAGACACTGATTTTTATTTCATACTTCACTGCAGGTGAGTAACATCCGTACATGACCGCTGCAGCTAATGTGGACTAGCAAGGCCACAGTGCGCGTTAGCTCTCTTGGGCTAACTAGCTAGTTAACGTTAAACGTGGAAGATAGCTGTTTTTCGACTAAGCAGGTATCCCGCCTGCTCAGTTTGCAGTGTTAGCAGTCAGATGCGCGATCTGTGTTAAAAATTCAAAACTGTGATGAGCCTGACATGTCCCAGCTCAACCCTGAAAATAATGTTCCCTTGGTCTGCAGTTGAACGTCCTCTCTCCTCTATAGGTTCCTGTAGATTTAAGGATGTCCTATCCTCCTCCGCTCAACCGCCAGCAGATTGGCATCCCGCAGCTACCCCCGAGGATCCCACCTCCACAGTACGCGGGGTTTGCCCCAGCAGTCCCGCCAGGTACTGAATCCTATTCTGGTCACTTCATCTGTAACAGCTGTGTGTTTTGTAAATCAGGCTCTGGATCCCTTGGTGTGATTTTTCTTTTTAAGGGTAAACACTCATAGGACCTGAGGGGGTGATTACATTTCGAAGCGCCAATAGTCCTGTTTAGTGTTTGTTTTCCTTCACGTCAACATCTCTGACTAGTTCTTTGACAGTGAAAGTGCTAAGTAAGGAGACACTTGTTGTTTTTATCTTGGGGAAATCACACACAGACAATAATATATCATTGTCAGTGGTCATGTGTGGTTGTGTACCTCAATACATGGTTTGAATATTGTTTTTTGTTTCTCTTCGCAGGTACTCCCATGATCCCAGTACATATGGGTGTAGTGACCCCCGCACCCACAGTGAGTTAGAGACAGGAGTTCCTACCTACTGCATGCCAGTTCAAGCATCAGCTGTTCTGAATGATCTGCCATCAAATACATATTTTTTTTAAAACATGTTAAGAATTCGACTGGGTTCATCCACTTTGTCAAGTGTGCAGCTCAACCCAAAGCGGTCTGAGCCACACAGCTGTTATTGGTTGCTGTTGTTGCTCCTGATGAGAGTGACTCTTGAGTGACTGAAATGTAACTTCTCATTGCAGGTTCTTGTCCCGACCACAGTTGCTGTAGCACAGAAGCCGATGGCTCCAAAGAAGGAGTCCAGCGCCATCAGAGCCAAGGATACGGAGGACGGCGGCGGCCCCACCACCACTGTATTTGTAGGAAACATCTCTGAAAAGGCGTCTGACATGTTGGTCAGACAGCTTCTAGCGGTGAGTGAGTTGACCACACCTAAAATGAGATAATCCAGTCACTCAGAATTGCTTATCTTGTGGTCACTCAACCTGATATGAAATCCAAGCTAGATGTATTACAGAATAGTAACAGAATGCGCAGCAATAGTGAGCTACTTAGATTAAAAGTTACAAGTGATAAACATTCGTAACAGCTTGGACAAATTCACAACAACACTTCCACAACACCTGCATCACATGTTTTGATCATAGCTGCTCGGGGCGTGTCTCAGGTAACTGCTGACGAATCCCCAGGAACTAATGTCTTAGGGAAACTCAAATACTGTTGCACCAACTTTCTTATCAGTGATTAATTCATGATTGCATCTGTAATGTCAAATTATATCATTTCTCTTCCCTGTCCTCTTTTGATATAGAAATGTGGCATTGTTCTAAGTTGGAAGAGGGTCCAAGGAGCCTCTGGGAAACTTCAAGGTAAATAAAACAGGCTGTAACACATTTAAACTATTCCTTTACTATCTTCTCTTAATGAGTTTCTATAACAAGTTTAGAAACTGGTGTGAAGCATATTTTTTTGAATACCATATATTTTATTTTGCAAATAATGTAGGTAAGATATTCTGTGATTAACATTTGTGGAACTTTTGTTTTCTCCCGTCAACTCCTGGAAGCCTTTGGGTTCTGTGAGTACAAGGAACCCGAATCTACACTGCGGGCCCTCAGACTTCTGCACGAGTTGCTCTTAGGTGATAAGAAGCTGTTGGTCAAGGTCGATGCCAAGACCAAGGCCCAGCTAGATGAGTGGAAGGCCAAGAAGAGGAGTGCCAATGGGGTATGCTGTTCACCTGTCCAGTAAAAAATAAATTGAACATTTCTGTCATGTCGATTATTTTGTTCAAATTCTAAGTTTGTTTTCGTCATATTTGTCTGGCTTGAACATAAAGGGAGCCAGCGGTGGCTCAAAGAACGGGGACGAAGATGAGGAGGAGGTTCTTGACGAGGAAACCTTGCGTCGGGACCAGGTTGTGAAGGGGGCGATAGACGTCCTCATCCGAGAGTATGCGAGTGAACTGAATGCTCCCTCGCAGGATCCTGACAGTCAACCTCGCAACAAGAAGCGGAAAGAGAAGAAAGAGGAGGTAGCGTTTGCATGATGTCAACGTAAACACAAAGCCTGGAGCAACGTCTTCTGGTCTTGTGCTGTGATTTGTTGCGTACTCGTAGAAACTGGAGAGTACTTAGTGTGTTTGTTTCCTGTCTCTCTCTCTTTGCGCAAGGAGGATATCAATGCTATGGAGATGGAGGATGACAAGAGAGACCTGATATCCAGAGAGATCAGCAAATTCCGGGACACACATAAGGTAATGTATCAAACTGCTGTTCATCAATTTGTAGAAATTCCTCAATATCAAATGGAGCTGCAGTTTTTTTATAATTTATGGAGGTAATTCCTCCGTTCTGTCACTGTCAACCGTAATACGGAGGTAGTCTGTTAACACAAAGATTAGTTATTCACATTCAGACATGGAAGGAATGGAAAGTAGTTGATGTTGATAGAAATATTTCATATTATCTACTAAAGGCTAAAAATATTACAAACACGACATCAG